AGCACATCGACCACTAGTACAACGAGTAAGTTTAGTTTTCAAATTTTTATAAGGTGGAACAAGCAGTCTTCACTGTCTATCGCACCTATAGCGGAACACATGTTCTCTCGTATGAAAAGGAACAAACGCAAAAAGCAATAACCAGATAATTAGAAAGCCGTTTTAAGAAGAAAATAATTTTTGTAGATCATTGCGGCATGTCTTCATCAATCGATGTTCGACTAAATCTTTAATTGAAGATAGCGGCAACTACATAGGGAGATGAAAAAAATGAATTAGTGATATTTTCGTTAAGCCCCCATCCCTCCGTATCCGAAACATATCGCACCTCAGGCAGGTCTGGTCTGAACCAAGCTTTCAGGGGATGTTGACCATGTCAAGGTGTGGTAACGAAATCTTTTGGTGCCACTTGCAACTGTTCGTGAGAGGGCGTCACAACAAGAGCCAAAAGTAGCCGTCTACGACGTGCAAGAATTCTCATCCGAGGTAAATGATAGAGAGCTCCGGCTTCTTTTACTTTGCAGTAAGCACCTATGGCTAGGAGTTGACAGAGACTGACTTTTGCATTTCTCATTTACTGATTTCTGGTGCTTAATAGAACTTTAAAATCCGAAAAATCCTTGGAAGGTTTCTTCTAAATCCGCATTTCTATAAAAAAACAGAAGCATCATTTAAAAATCGGACTTTGCCAAGTTCTACTATAAGTGTTATCTACAAATCAAAAGAAATTTTCTTTCTCCGATGTAACATCACTTAGAATTCTTGTGCGTGGCGAAAGCCCTGAAGAAGTACCATAACATGTATGAGCAGTTTCCTTCAGTTTCAGTCAGTGATATTTCGACTCGGACTTTAAATGTCTGAGTCCAAAATACAAAAACTGTCTAGTTCGATTGTTTGCGCGAAAAAGCACTGGTAACTGATCGTATATCTAACAGTCTATTGATCTCAAGCTACATTCATGCCTAGACTTGACTAGAGATCAAGTTGTTTTGTATTAGTCTAAGGTTTTTGGAGGAGGACCATAAGTTCCGATAGTCTATTCGGGTTCTAACTGGACAGGCGACAACAAATTTCTTCGGTAGAATGCCATCAAACTATCCTATTTAAAAAAATCAAGACTTATACCGGTTTGTGCGCGATATTCAGTGTGGGTCATCGGATGAGTGTTCACAGAAGGGAAAACTTCTTTGTTTATTAGGAGCTAATGGGACATTTCTGTCTCAAACAACGTACGCAACTGGCAGTTCGCCATTTGGACTAGCAGCGGTAGATGTAAACAGTGACAATAGACCCGATATTATTGTCGCAAACAGTGGTTCAAACAACATCAGTGTCCTCCTTAATGCAGGCAATGGTACGTTTCTGTCTCAAAGGACGTATGCAACTGGTCTTAGTCCAGAAAGACTAACAGTAGTAGATGTAAACAGTGACAATAGACCCGATATTATTGTCACAAACAAAGCCTCGAACAATGTTGGCGTTTTCTTCAATGCAGGCAATGGTACGTTTTCTTCGCAAATAACGTACGCAACCGGCACGGATCCAGTCGGTGTGCAAGTGGTGGTTGTAAACAGCGATAATAAACCCGATATTATTGCCACAAACTATCTTGCGGCCAGTGTTAGTGTTCTCATTAATGCAGGCAATGGCACGTTTCTGAATCCAGCAACGTAAGCAGTCGGCACGGCGCCAACTCAACTAGCCGTGGTGGATGTAAACAGCGACAATAGACCCGACATTATTGTCGCAAACAGTGGTTCAAACAACACCGGTATCCTCTTTAATTCAGGCAATGGTACGTTTCTGTCTCAAACGGTGTATGCAACTGCTGGTAATGAACAAGGAGTAGTAGTGGTAGATGTAAACAACGATAATAAACCCGATATTATTGCAGGAAGCTTTGAAACGAGCAGTGTGCGCGTTCTTCTCAATGCAGGCAACGGTACGTTTCTGTCTCAAGTATCGTACGCAGCCCCTACGTCGACATATGAAGTAGCAGTGGTGGATATAAACAGCGATAACAGACCCGATATTATTGTCACAAACTCTGGCTCGAACACTACTGGCGTTCTCTTCAATGCAGGCAATGGCACGTTTTCTTCACAAACAACGTATGCAGTTGGTACAAACCCAGTTGGATTAGCAGTGGTGGATGTGAATGCCGACACTAAACCCGATATTATTGTCGGAAACGTTGATTCAGGCACCGTCAGTGTTCTCTTGCAGCCGTAAGGTGGCATTATGTAAAAAACTTTATCTATTGATGAGAATAACATATGACTTCATGGAATAATCCAATTTGACAATGAAATAAGAAGCATTAGTCGATAAATAGTTTATATTGTGTGAAAGTGCGCTGATAATGAACTTGAACCCTTTGCTTACAGTTTGTTTTTAATCGATGGATCTTTTAGCTTTCGTTCTAAAATGATGTGTAATGAGTTTGATGAGTATACAGAAGCATTTAAAAGTGTTTTAAAGTATGATAATCTTCAAAACAACCTGTACAAGTTCTTCATGCTTTTTTTCTGTTGCTGTTGCTGGCACTAGAAATGAAAAATGACGTGTAGTAAGACGTATGGGATTATCGCCGATAATAGGACGACCAGTTGCAGTCACCCTCACCTTCACCATCACCCTAACCCTCACCCTGGTAAAAGAATCAGCTCTTTTGCTCGAGTTATAACGAAGATATTCAATTTTCATGGTTCGGTTGCGTTACGTAAGGTTGCGAAAATGTACTCACGAGAATTTAAACGCGTTTCGAATATCTTCTTCAGTAAATGCTCATTTGTAGAATGATGGTCGATAGACAGAATGATGGTTGATAGACGTTAATTATTCTGACAATTGCGAAAGCTAAACTGTTTAGACGGCGTTGTTTCATCAAACAAAGTATGTATTAATTTCTTATAGACTGAACAAAATCACGTTTCGTTTTACTTATAGAGTTCATGACAGAATTGGTTCCTTCTGCTAGGCCGTACGACACTTCTTATCTCTTACAAACTGGGAACTAAGGAACCTCCTAATTTCTCGTGGTTTAGACGTGGTATCAAAGTCCAAGGATAGATATTTCCTTATGTGTGTTAATCACAAAAATAAACAGAAACACATGTAGTCGATCACACTCAGTCGTGGCAACGTTTGCTTTTCGATAATAATTCAAACACCGGTACTAGGTGGGATGACCCCTTTTTCCCTGCTTTCTTATAAAATACGAAAATTCACAACTCCGTCAAAATCAACCCAAACTACGTCAGAATACGAACATGTACTCTGTTTTATTTGACAAGGTGTT